TTCCTAACCATACCCCCTGCTTTTTTTTTCTTTAGAGGAAATGAAAGTGCAGCAGCAGCTTTTCCATGCTGGTGCCTGACCAGCTGAGTGCTGTGGCTGTTCAGGGGACTCTCCAGCTGCCAAGGTGAAACAAAAGGATTTTCCTCTTTTTTTTTTCTTTTTAGTCTGGATTGTGCCTGTTCTGGGTCACAAAACCAAATCAAAACAAAGAGTGGCTGCAACTTCCTCCTGGCTGCACCACAGAGAGTAAAGAAGGGATAGAACCTGATTTGATATGACTACTTTTGACAAAAAAAAAATTGAAACCTTTATGCTGAGCATAAAGGGGTTTTTGTGGGGTTTTTGTTTGGTTGCTTTTGGAGAGATTTTTTTGTTTGTTTTTAATAAAGGCAGTGGCAAGGGAGGGAAAAGGCTTAACATTCAATCTTATGACATAATGACCAAAGTCCCTATGTCTCTGCATGAAAACAAGCAGATAGAAGCTGCTTTCCTCTCTAAACAAGACTCTGATCAGAGATTTCAGGAAAACTGAGTAGTACTGGTTGATTTGCATTGTTCTTCCTAGAAGCTGCCTGACACAAAACGGTTCTGCCTTGTTTACAAAACAGAATTTCTTGGCAAAGTATTCCAGGAAAGCAGTACGTGCAAATCTTAAAGACAGTGACTAATTATTACCATCATTATTTCCTTGAAGATGAAGCTTTCACTTTCTAATGGCTGGTTTACTTGCTGACTGCTGTTTGCCTTAGACGAGACGATGAGTTATTGCTTTGGGCAAACCTAAATGCGCATAGATAACAACATGAATCCTTCCACAGGCGAGGAAACAGGGGAAAAAAGATGAGTAATGTTACTTTTAATTTAATGTAACTGGTGTGTCACACCCTGCCTTTAGAAAGCAAAGGAAGGACTGCTACATGAAATAGTGCAGCTACAAAGGGGAAAATCCAGTGGAGGAATCCAAGACAGCCATCATTGCAGAAAACTAACCGGAATTTATGTGGGATGCTGCCATCTTGACAACGTGCTGATGAGAAAACATAGTAACACAGTTCTTATTTAAAAGCACAAAGCCCTGGTGGGTTGCAGCACAGCTGTAAAGGCGGTAAATCAAGCTCCACGCCTGAAAACCTGCCCAGATGGGATGCCAAAATGGATGCTTTAATTGTGTTTTCACACTGAATACTGTGTTTCATGACTGCCTTCCTCCAGCAGCCACTTCAGAGAGGATTAACAGCAACTTGTTTACACTGTACTTGCCTTTTAACACGAAGCATGTGCTGCTCCCTGGCCATTGTGCAGGATTTAGGTTGTCCCCTTCTCCCACAGAGGTCAAGAGTGCAGTATTGTTCTCCTCCCATAAACAAGTGAAGTTAAAGCCAAAGGATGACAAGATACAACACAGGGTGAGGATCTCCTTATTTTATGTTAGAAAGCAGTTTGGGTGTCCTACGAATGGTTGGGGTTTTTCTCTCTGCGGTGGGGTTTCTTATATATATACTTTATATATTTATATATATATACTTTTATAATATGACTAGGTCTGACAGTCAAAAAATCAAAATTTCCATTCCAGATAGGACTATTAAATTCTTATTATCCCCATGGGCAACATGCAGAAGTACTATATGCTGCTTGAAGGTGTAAATGTGATAGATCTGAGACAGGTGAACAAGTGTACAAACCTTTTGAGAGCTCGAGTTTTGCTGTTAACAGAAGCAGGGGGTGGCTCCATGGCTGTGCTCATGTCCTATTTGCTTCCACCTGTATTTGCTTGGTGCTGATTCTCTGGAGTTAATAATATTGGTTATAACGTGCTGTTCGAATTAGGAGCTGAATCAACCAACCAGCAGTAATTAACTCCCACACCAATGGGCACTGGCTCTAATAAACTTACCAAAAGTTGTTGAAACTCAAGCTGTAATATTGATTAGGAAACGAGGGGCAGCCACTCCTGGATGTTCAGGTCATGCACATCAGAACATCCACCTCCTGCCTATGTAAATTATCTCTACTAATGGTAAAGGAAAGGGGGGGAAAAATACAGTATTGAAAGAATTACATTGCTGATGCTGTGAGCTGTGTCAAACACAAAGCACTTTATACAAAACAGTTCAGCAAAGAAAGCTGAAGCAGATTTTGGAGTATATTGAAACTGGCAGCAAGTTTTTATTAGCCCGAAGAAAAAGAAACTACATTGTATTCACTTTTTTTTTTTTTCTCCAAAGAAAGGAACATTTTTGTTTACAGATTTTTTTTTTGTTTATACAATAAATTTGCTTTCAAAGTTTTGTTAAAAATATAAGGAATGTTCTAAAGCATTACTGCTGGGCTGCATTTGGTTAGGATTCCTTTCTGTTACAACAGATGAAAGGTCACACTCTGTCCAACAATGTGTCCCTGAAGGGGGTTTTGGTGAAATCCCAGCAATGGGAGTAGGAAGCCTATGTTTTGGTTTAAAATGCTGAGGCAAAGAAGCACATTATTGTCTCAGCTTTTTCCCTACCTGCATTTTTAAAAGCTCCTTGGATTGTCAGTGCTCAGGACAGAAGCAGGGGAGTCGCACAACCACCACAAAAAGCTCCAGTGCATTGTGGGGTGAACTCCCACAGCCTACAAATATCCCCTGCAATGGTCTGAGAGCTTCCAGTTCTGCCATAAAACTACACCCTCCTTGACCCATCCCCTTTTTGCCAGGCACAGATACAGGCTCTGGTTCAACTTCAGAAAATAAACACAAGTGAGTGACATCAGGTTTAACCACAAGAAAGAAATAGTTCAAATACCAGGGAGAGGAGTGTTGTCTCCCTCTGCAGCAGTGGTATTCACTCCCTTTTAATGATTTGCGGGTGTTTTCCAACCAAGGCACACTGGAAAACATCTAAAAGAAGGATTTAGACCTTCCAGCAAGTTCCCTTTCTCTGATCACTTTTCACAGACCCCTTTCAAAGCAATCCCCAGACACACAGATGGTCTCACCACTGAAGCTCAGGACCTGTTGTGTGCAGAAGAGGAGACATGAAACGAAATAGGAAAGGCAAGGAAAACTTGCAGGGAAAAAAAGACCAAAAAGGCCTGAACCATCTGCCAGATATCACATCTCCTGTCACTCCCACACACCATGGCCTGTCACGAGTTCAAGCACTGGAAGAAATTTTGGGTTCCTTCCAGGACAGCAGGCAGGGTAAGGATCACTGTCAAGGTCTACTCTTGTGCTGAGAAAGTGGCTGAGGAAAAACATCACTCAGGGATAGGAACTGCCATGTCAGTCTCTGATCCCTCAGAAGTGCAACAATATTGATGTTCACGCAGAAACCCCACATAGGATCTGTCACCAACCCACTGAAAACAGTCACCTCTGTTGTCCTCAGAAGATTTTCCTCTCTATGAGTAAATGGTTTTGTTTATGCACATGGACTCCTAACACTCAGCATCAAACACAAGGCAGGATTGGGCAAAAACCTCTGGTGAGCAGGAATGTCACGGAGAAGAGGTGACTTGCTGTGCCAGCCCTGCATGCTCACAGCTTCCAGCATCCCTGGAAGTGTGCCCATGCCCTGGGAAAGTGGGAAGTTCCCTGCCCAAGCCAGGGGGTTGAACTGGATGATCTTTAGGGTCCCTTCCAACCCAAACCACTCTGTGATTCCTGCATCTATCCCATGCTCCGGGCAGAGCATCAGAGCAATCCTTGGGACTAGCCCACACGATCTCAGAACACTTGATTAAAATAATGGCTTGTTGACACCAAAAAGCCCTGCCTTTAACTCACACCACCACCCCCAAAACAGCATACTTGGTGACATGCACAAGTGATCCAGAACAGACTCCTGCTGCAGATTCAAATTCGTTCGAAAACGCTGCAGTTGGCATCGCATCAGCAGGCTTCACGAGGGGTAAAAATTTATTCCTTTTTCACTGCTAGCAAAAAATCCAGTCAGAACCGTTTCCTCCTGTCCTGTCTGGTTCACAGACAGTGTGAGTACTGGCCCATTTCTGGTATGGTTGTACTGAACCTGCACAACAGCAAACCCTTCTCCCAAAAAATCACAAAGTTTCCTTAATTGATTCCCCAGCTGCTTTCCCCAGAGCTGCTCTCAAATAAGATAGATAAATAAAAGAGCTATAAAGCTTTAACTTTATAACCACTATCCTACAGCAGGGGTTTCAGTCTCCAAGCCACCATTCCTATCCAGTATCAAGCACTTCAGAGGGCAATTTCTCATTCCTTCTTGAGGGCCAAGAAAAATACTCTACACCAGTGTTGTACCCCCTGTATTTACTGTTCCCGATACAATCCAGAGGGTTTTCACCCCATACCATCCTGGAATTACAAGGTTTTTAATCCTAGCTCCTCATCAGCACGGGATTTAAGCAAACTACCAGCATTATCCAGAGCACTCAATTGCTTTTGAGATTCCCAAACTAGATGCTTCAGATCGCTGGTATGTGGATATTGGACAGAGGAGATGAATTGCTACACTAGACCATAATCTTTGTGGACATGCATTCTTATGTAACTGCTTGTAACAGAAACTACTTCACATTTTACTCTTGCCAGGGCAGTTTCTGCCAGAATTGTGACTTTTAACCAGAACAGACAACACCGCTCTTGACACCGCAGTTTCTGTCCAAAGAGACCTTTGCCAAGGCAGAATGTTCTTTACTTAAAGGGAGTTACGAAAAGAAATCACACCTCAGAGGTGAAGGACTGGCTCTGCACTAATGCATCTGACATGCTTTAAGGGGCACTTCCAACCAGAAGGAATGTGAAAATCCACGTGACATCCAACAGCACTTGTGGCCTCTGGGATGCACAACAAGGACAAGGTTGGATTTGAGCAGACATAAACAGCAAGTTCTGCTTCACACCTGATAATCTCAAAACAAGCCACATCTCAAAATGTCTCAGACATTAGTGTAGCTGGAATTCGAGTGCAAAAAGTTTTAAGTGTCCGGATACTCCAGAGGGGGCAGCTGCATAAAGAGACCTACAGAACTACTCACGGTTCACAGGCTCACTCTGAATGCTTTTAATGGGTTGTACGGATTTCTACACCTGGTTTTGTAAAGCACATTATATTCCACACAGGACACGATACCATCTGGCGGGTGAACACATCTTCTGCCCTGTGACGAAGCAACAAGTGATCCCCTAAAGGTTCTGGCTGGTAACTTCTCAAGAAGATGTATTTCTTGGCTGATTGCAACACGGAAGAGCTCTTGCTGAAGGAAGCAGGATGCACTCCAGGTTTGGCTCACAGGCCTCTCAAATGATTTTCACAGACACAGGAGGATCATATTGCAATAGAAGGGTTTTCCAATACAACAAAATTTGACTGACACATTTTACTTTTACTTTGTAGATACAAAATCAACTTTTGCACTTCTTCCTATGGAAATATTTCACAAGTAAGAAGCAATGGATTAGAAACTAGGCAGAATCCCAACCACATAAACTGAAGGAAAGACAAAGGGAAATTCTCAGCTAAAACTTCTCATATACATCAAGAATTTTGCTACATTCCCTTTCCCATAGCCAGGTACACTAAGTTAGATACATTAACTAAGAAAACTTTTAGAAAGTTTAAAAAAACCCAAAACCAAACCAAAAGAAAATCACATCAGGTGTGTTTCCACCTGGAGAAGAAAGCCTGAACACAGTAGGCAAAAAAAGACCCTGTTTCAAGGAAAATACCCTCTCCAATATTCATATATCATGCATCAGAGATTCCCAGGACTGAACCACTAACACTGCTAAAGCTTAGGCATATTGTAAATGCATTATGTGCTGCAAGCAGGATATTGTCATATCAGCCTACCTGAAAACCTGAATAAAAGTTTAAACCAGTCTTCCAGAATCCATTTTACATATAAAAAGTCTGCAGTTGGATCACCTCCTGTCATCGAGGCAAAAGGTACAAGGTTAGCAACAGTCATAGCGAAGACTCTTCAGCCTTCATCTTTTTTTTTGTCTGTCCATTGGAACCACATTGCAGATTCTGCCTTTTCTTTTTCTGCTGCTGTGACCTCTCCTCCTTCCTCTGTAGATACTCGTCCATGTTATCAAATGAGGCCTTGTAGAGGTGTCTGTAGTAGCTTCCTGCGCCCACAAAACCTGCAGTTGGGCAAAGCAAAACACAAGTGTTAATTCCCTTAGCAGCCTCATCAAGTACTTCCTGTACTGGAGCTCTGGATAGTGGCACTTCAACTCATTCCCTGTGGTCCTACCCACTTTGTCAGCTTTCCAGTACCTACAGGGGGCTTACAAGAAGGTTGGAGAAGGACTTTCCACAAGGGCATGTAGTGACAGGACAAGGGGGAGTGGCCTTAGGCTGAAGGAGGGTGGATTTAGATTCCTGCCTGTGAGGGTGGTGAAATATTGGAACAGATTGCCCAGAGAAGCTGTGGCTGCCCCATCCCTGGAAGTGTCCAAGGCCAGGTTGGACAGGGGGTTGGAGCAACCTGGCCTAGTGGAGGGTGTCCCTGCCCATGGCAAGGAGGTTGGAATGAGATCATCTTTAATGTCCCTTCCAACTCAAACCACTCTGTGATTAAATATCAATATTTACACTGTGTAAGCCTGGTTTGTGTTGGCAAGCATCTGTCCAGCATTCACACAACCAGGCACAACCTCTATTTTTAGGGTAAGAAATTGATAAGAGAGGCGAGCACCTGATGTGGAAGCAAAGAGAGGATGCAGCTCTCCTCACATGCTGGACACTTGGAGACTTCAAGGCTTCTGTTTTTGAAATGACTGCTGTCCCAGTGTCCCACTGGAGTTGTCCCCCAAGACCTAAGCACTAGAAAGGCTGTTGCCACCTAACTGTGCTCAGTTACTTTTCCTCTAGAGCATTAACTTTTAAGAAGCCCAAAGGAGTAGACTTTAAGTAGTTATGCCCTACAGCACATACATATTTCTGAGCATTCACTCCAGTGATTTTGTCACACCTTCTGTGCATTCAGTGTAATATTCCTCACACCATCTCCAAGACTGTAGATTTAGACGAATTTAACAGGGAACTAACTGCTATCTAAAAATCCCCAATCAGATTGCTTCTGCAGAGAATACAGGGCAAGACTCGCTGCCTATGTCCACATTTCTAAAAAAAGCCAGTTATCTCCTGTTCTCTTTGTATTCCTACCCTTTCCCACATACCAAAGTTCATGATCTTAAAGGAGAAATGCAGGGAAACACAGTATTTGCTAGGGTTTGTACTCTAATGTACAAACAGCACCCCCATTTCTTGGTAGACAAACAAAGCAACTTTCCCTTGCTGGTTCTCAGCAAAGCACATGCTTTTACTTTCAGGGGTGTTGCACTCACACAGTAATGTCTTTATTGGCCTTTTGCCCTGGGAGAAATGGTGTGCTGTCAGCTTGAATATCCTTGCTAACCCTCCACCTGATCAGTCTGCACTGAATCTCACTCCACCTTTTTCTGTTATAACACAAATGTCAAACTGTTCAGTGTGAACTGAAGGGAAATGGCTTCAAACTGAGAGTAGGTTAAGATTAGACACCAGGAAACAAATTGCTTATTATGAAGGTGGTGAGGCCCTGGCACAGGTTTGCCAGAGAAAGCTGTGGCTGCCCCATCCCTGGAAGTGTTCAAGGCTGGGTTGGACAGGGCTTGGAGGAACCCAGGATAGTGGGAGGTGTCCCCACTCACAGCAGGGGGGTTTGGAATGAGATGATCCCTAAGATCCCTTCCAACCCAAACCATTCTGCGATTCTGTGATACTTCCAGACTGACCGATGTGTCTTAAATCCCACAGAATCCTCAGCCAGGTTAAACAAGGACAATATGCAGGCATTAAGACTGGATTTAAGCAATGTAAGACTGGATTTAAACAATGTAATGATCGCTTTTTTTTTTTTTTTAGGAGATGTAACTACCTTTTGGAATCACTAATTATGCACTGGAATAAGTGCTCATCAAGTGAGCCTCCCCTTACTAATTAGCAATAATGAACCCTGTCATCTGAGCCGTCCTCCCTCTCCCAGCTGCAGACACAGCCGGGCACCTCCTATCACAGTCATTTGTTCCACGGGCTAATTACGCTCAGAACCTCTTCCCCTGCCTGCTCTTTTTCCTTCTCTGTGCTCATTTTCACTCAGATCTCATACTCCTAATTATCTGCCTGGCTGTAACTATTAAGCCCGCAACATCTACATGCAAGCACCTCCCTTCCAGAGCAGCACCTGAGTTAGATTTCAAAGACTGTACCAACTTAATTACAACTTAATGACCAACTTAATGACAGCTACACGCTAAACCAACACTAGATGTTAAGGAGACTTTACAGTAGACTGCACATTCCTGTAACTCTTCCATCTTTACATATGGCCACCACGAACAGACCAAAAGACTGGTGGGAACTGTAACACTTTAAGGAAGGTTTTCAGTCTCCCAGTGAAGTACAGGAGAGAAATTCTAATTAATAAAGTCTCAATACATAATTGAGCCTTTAGTATATACCACAGCCTTTCTCTACTCTGCACCACCACTGCCATTATTTCAGCTTCTAAGTAAAGCTGGGTGTTTTTTAAACATAAAAAAATCCTGGAAAAAATTGGGTGTTTCTGAACTAGTAAACCAGGCATTATTTTTTTTTCTGCCATGGACTGGATGTGGGGCAGAAATCAAGAACAAAAAGAGCCAGCCCTGGTATCAATCAATGTCATCTTTGATATCATCCAGGGTCACACCTTCCAGCCACAGCAGACTCCACGTACTCTGCCTTGCCAAGGTGGACCCAAATGGCCCATTTTTACAGCAAAGCTGCTCCTCCCATGGTTATTCCGTTCTAACTGGCTCCACTGTACCTCTGATAAAGTGTCACACCCAGGCAAGAGACAGGACAAACAACAGCACCTGACATCACTGCAGTAAGACAGACTCCAGCAGCTCTGTCACAGGGTGTTTGGATACATCCCTGTGATAAGGTGTCTATGGAAAACACTTATAATGCTGCAATTCAGCTCTAAATCCCTACATCATTTTCTGATAACAGTAATCTGGACACACTTCGTGATCTATATTCCCTTCCTTTTCAGACAGAGTGATGAAATTGAGAAAACATCTGAACTGACCTGAACCCTAATCTTGTTCCTAAGTCTTGTTTTTAGCTGCAAAAATGGCATTCCCTGGGCCTTCAGGCCAAATTTCTCACCTTCAAACACTGTCCAGTTGTCTTGAATATATTTTGACATCTTCTGCAATTCCTTGTCATCAGTTACAGCCTGGGAAAAGAAGGAATGCTGCATGATATTCTGGGATTAATAAACAATTTCATGTTTCAGAGCACAGTGAAAAATGCAACAGCTCTCAGAAGAGTATAGTGAAGCAGAACAAGTGTTAAATCCTCCATGATCTCTTTGGGGCTCCTTTTTCCCAGGACTGGTACTGAAACCCAGATTGGAATCTAATGTTCTGCTGGGAAAGCTTTGGGGCTCAAATGAAAAGAAAATGGATGCCCAGCTACTGATCTGTGAGGAAAAGGAGTATCACAAGAACACGTAAGGTCAAAGACCATATTGAAAAGTTTCATTTGAAACCACTTCACAACCAGACCATAATTAGCTGGGGACTCACAAGCATAACAAATGAGTTTCCAGTTGTTTAACAGGCTGTTACAGAGAACTTGATAGCACATCCCTCAAAATTTATTCCCTGTTCTCAGTGGAGGAAAAAAAAAAAATTCCCTTAATGCTCCCAGAATGCCTTGTTCTCCAAAGGATCCCTCAGAGGCAGGCACAAGGAAGGCTGTGTGAAAAGCATTCCCGAGCAAAACAGAAGGGATTTGGTTGTTCCTTTTTTTTTTTTTTCCTTATATAAGACAGGAAACAGTTTAAAATACTGAGTGCAAATGGTTGACAACCACTCTGCTTGATCCTGCCGTGCCAGATGTTGCCTTTGCTGGAGGATACACTGGTATTCATAACAAGCCCCTGACACCTCTGAGTTAAACACAGGTGAGAAACAGAATGAGATGTGCATCTACGGCTTTTATCCTTCTCAAGACATAGAGAAAGGTGCCTTTCAGCTTTCATCAAACATAATTAACTCAGTTTTTGTTGTGGTCTCGAGACAACGCAAAACATTTAGGATGCTGGCATTAGAAAGGTACCTTCCACTGTTCATCACAGGCTCTGTACAACTGAAGAGGAGCTTCCTTGTCCTCCTGCAGAATCCACAGATCTCCCGTTTCCCCAAATGCAATATCCCAGCCTTTGTGCTGCAAAGGGATTTGCTGCTTGTAAACGAGCTGCTGGGCAGTGGCATCAAGCTGAAAGACGTAGACTGTGGGAATACTTTTGAGAGGAAAAACTTAATCGGCATCATCACCAAAGCCACCTACGTCCATCACTTGTACAGCAAACTACAGACACCCACTCTAATTCCCAACAGAGCCAAAGCAAAGTCATTAGGAACTGCACAAAAAAAAAAAAATGCTCTAGCACTTCAAGTGCAGTTTGATTACATGATCTGAGTCAGAAGCCGTAAATACTCAACACGTCAAATGGCTTCTCAAGTGTCATGTGAAAATAAAAGCAGTCAGTGCCGACTTCTCTTTAAAAGAAAAGGTACTAAAGGGAATTTCATAAGGATTACTAAGGATTTATATAAGGACTGTTGCATCGTGGCACACTGACCTCCAGGGCTTGAAGGAATATGTAGCTGAACGCCAGTCAAAATAAAACAGGAAAGGAATTACATGCAGGGGAGGGGAGGACACCTTGACACAGCTGAAGAACAGGACTCTGCCATTGCTCTCTTTTCCACCTCTCCCATCAGCACTCTCTCCTCTAGCCACCACAGCCTCCACATGCAGAGATTCCTGACCTCCCTTGGACAGGCAGGACACCTGAGCTCCCTCCTGAGTGGCCCACCAGGTCCCCATGACAGCCTTGTCTAAAACCACTGGGCTGTGGAGCTGAAAACAAAAGCCTGATGCAGAGCACAGTGGCCCCTGGGCTAAGGGACAGGGCCAGTGTGGATGCCCATGCAGAAGGTGTAATGGGAAGCAGCTAAGGCTCCTTAATTTGGCAAAGAGCAGGTCCACTGAGGGGACAAACTGCCTCTTTCACTGCACAGGCAGCTCTGGCAATCTCTCCCTTTCCCCTTGGCAAGCCTTTGTCAGGAAGAACAGCTTCCTTAGCAGACTTAAGGTGATGTGCAAGAAGGGCTTGTCCACCCCCACGAGACACTGCCCCACCAGATGCACCTGAAAGTCCCCCCAGTGCTCAGGCCCCTCAGCTCCTGAGCACCCTCTCCTCACACAGACACACAACACTCCAACCCAAAAGTCAATGTGGCCTCTCCACAGTTTTAAACAGAATGGCTGAACTCATTTACAGGTAAACGGAAATTTGGCTGCTCCACAGCCACAGCACCCTGAACAAAACAGGACCCAAACCACGTGGGTCAGGCACAGCAATCTGGAGAGAACAGGGCTCTGGTACATCCAAGCCTCGGGGAAAGCATCACAAAATCTGCCAAACTGAACCAAGCTGAGTAACCCTTTCACTCACCTCTGTGCTCAGACCAAGCACAGTAAGGACTCAGAGGCTCCCTGTGAGGCCACAGGCATTCCTGGGACATTTGGATGTCCACAGAACCAAGGACTGCGGGCTGGGGGAATGCCAGGAGAGCCAGCAGGGAAAGCTGCTCTTGCCTTTGCAGGAGCTGTGAGGATTTGGGGCATTCTTCCCTTTATTCTTACCTGTCACACAGAATGGCAACATAACCACCTTGACAGCAGTAGGTTATTCTTGACACGGTGTACTTCTATTAGGAGTAGAAAAAGAAACATCCTTGTAAGTTAAGACCATTTATGGGCAGAAAATTCACGTTCCATTTCACGTCTCAGCCTTTAAAATTTAGCAGATGTCTTAATTTACAGCAAGTTAAGCAACATAATTACCTTCAAACTGCAGCCCAATTTATTTCTGTAGCAGTGTTTGCCTGGTTTATAAAGTTTTCCTTCCGTGCTCTCCAGAGATCCAATGTAAAGGTTTGAGTGAACTACTCTTAGCAGACAAACTAACAGATGAAGGAAAAGTACACCACCTTCAAACATTCTCCCCTGCAATGCTGTCAAATGACAAATGGTAATGGCAAAAACGTCGACATTAAGCCTGCTCAGCCAGAATATCACACCAGCAGCTCAGATATTACAAACACAGGCTATTAGCTGCTGTTATGTTTGTTAAAAAACAAAGACAGTGATGCATAGCTAATATCCCTAATGATAATCCCTGCTGTGCCGTTTTCAACCTGTGTCTGGGTGAAGCCACACTGCTCCACAGAAAATGTGTTCTGAGGAACAAGGAACGACTGCCTGAGGCCATTTTCCTCTTTAAAAAAGCCCCCAAAACCAACACAACAACAACAACAAAACCCCCCACATCACACTCCTAATTTAGAAGTTACATAGTTTTGTCTGGGAGAGAAGCAGAGAACAACCTTTGCTGCACAAACCATACTACTTGAAATATGTAACAACTGATTTGTGGCTCCTTGAGTGGGAAGTAAGAACTTGAGAGGAGCAGAGAACCTGCAAGATGATGTCCTGGGGGTGCTTTCCTCAGAAGTATCTGTTATGTAATGTGAAAGCCAAAACTGCAACAGCAGAAGGCTGCCTCTCAAGAGCATTTTACAAGCAGTGACAACACCAGCACTTGTGATGACTAAAACCTTACTGCTGGAGAAGCAGTGAGTTTTCCTTTAGGGCAGGGAAAATCCATCTTCTCGACACTCTGCTGGCAGGATTCTGATGCATCCTCAAGTCTTCTTTTATTTCACCCCCACCTCTTTCCCTAACACGACACTGGTCACTAGACAGAACCTCTGGTTCACTAAGTGAAGCTGAATTTGGGAGTAACCACGGGATTTTAGCCTTGGAGCTACCAGCTGATGTGCAGGCATTGTCAGGGTGCTTGTTTGGGAATTTTCCTGTCAGTGTAAGGAAGCAAAGCAAGCTGTATACAGCTTCCAAATATTCATGGCTTGAGGTTTAATAGCAGAAAACTCTTTTGTCAACAGTACACGGAGCAACTACTAAAAGATAAACCAGCTGTGGGTAAGAAAGTGAATTAATGTTATAAATACAGCTGAAAACCAGGGTTCCACGTTGCATCTCCAGCAAACGAGAAGAAAAGATCACTGTGTGCTGCAAGCTCATGGGAGGGAAGCAAGAAGAGCAGGCACACACTTTTCCCTCACATTCTCAATTGCCTGCTTAGACAGAAAACGAGCACTTTATATAAAAACCATTATCAAAAGGACTGGTATGTTCCAGGGCTCCTGGGAACAGATGGGACTAATCTCTTGCTGCTCTGCAGAAACACGAAGTTGTTAGTCCACACTTAGCATCAGGACCCAGGACTCCTGTTTCACACAGACATAAAAGATGCTTTTTGTTCCAAATACCCGGTAGGATGAGTGGGCTGAACCAGAGAGGTTCTCTGTATATAATAAGTCTAAATGTACTTTCTGCAGTGTGGAGCCACTTACACCACAGCTCTGGAGTAGAACTGACAGCTCCTATTTATTGCAAACCACCAGTGGGTTCTTCAGACACTTGAGGGAAGAAGCCAAGATATATATATTAAAAAAGCTGAAGCCTGTGATATTTATTCCTAATAATAAAGCTCTGACTTTCTACCTGTTGCCTGACAAACATGCAGGAAAGCGCCCACCTACACAGCCAAGTGCTTTGTTAGAGAGACAAAGGGTTCTGTGAACCTCAATTAGGCAGCAGCTTTCCCCCACCCTCACTGGGGGAGGGAGGAGGATTTTTGCTTTGAATCAAGTTTTATTCACAGCTGGAAAGAGACAAGAAAATGCAACTTCTTCCCAAGCTCTTTCCTTCCCATGTGTGGGTAAGTTAACAGTCAGCAAAGGAAATGCAAGACCCACAGTCTTGGTCAAGGACAAGCCTATGAAATCAGTTAAGGAAGAGCTAAAAGAACAGTCTGTGATAAACAGATGTTCACTTGATAGTCTCTGAACTAATCAGGGTTTATACAATACTGTTATCAGCCTGCCAACACCTTAAAATTATCTTTTGATGTCATCTGTGAGACGAGGTGACCCCATAAGAAATTACTGCACTGGTGGTGCACTGGGGTAGAGTTGAGCAATTCACGTTTTGGACTTTAAACCAGCTTCTGCTGTCAAGAGGATCAGATGAGGTGAAAGCTCTGAAGCAGGAAAAATATTTATACAGCACTATGGAATTAGAGAATTACTCCCATTCTAGTGGGAAAATGAACCGAGGATCTGCAACCCATCAGCTGAAACCAACGCTACACTGCTCAAAACACTCCTACATTCCCAAAACAGACATATATTCATCATCTGCCAAGCAAAATAAGCCCACATTTTTGTGCTCACATGACCCATCATTACTGATGATTGCATTCTCATTGGGCTTCAAGCTGTGTCTCAAAGCTTCAGAGCACTCACACTGTTTATTAAGGGTAAAAATGAATTATAACACTGAAGGAAAAAGCATTTCTATCCCCACCTGATCTTTGGTTGCAGACAATGTGCTAGTTACAGCCTGTAAAGTGCTGACTCGAGAGATTGTTCCCTTAAATTCAGACTGTGAATGTCGCAGTAGGTTGTGAAGATTATTTGCGATACACCTGGATGCACAGCACAACTAAATCCTGTCACCAGAAGTCACCTCTGGCATTTCTAGCACTATGATGCCATCAAAACACAAGTCTCCTTTCCCTCTAAAACACCCTGCAAGGGTGGGCAGTCATCAGGATTTAACAGATTCAGGAAACAAGAGAGCCTGAGCCTTCCAAAACCACCATCAGGACACACAGTGCAGTGGACGGAACAACTGCAAAACACGGCAGGAATGGGGTTTATTAACGGATTGCTGTGTTATATTTATTACCTCACAGTCTGTGGGCTTTCCCCTTCTGTCTTTGCTTACTCTGAGGTAAAGAAGCTCAACAGAGGCTCCTCAAACAAAGACACCCCAAATTTCTCCTGAGACATCAGCATAAAGAGTAACCCATGGAAGGGACTTTATCAGGTGTGTTAGGAGACAAGGCAAGTATTATTAAACTGCATTCGAGAGCCTTTAAAAACATTCTGAAAGAGCCAAAAAATATTTTTAAATCAACTCCTGCCTGCAGCAACGAGTTTTTTGACATGTTAGTTTATCTGATGATACATTTAAAGTTCATTATATAGCTTAATATTATTTTGATTTAATAAGCAGTGAAGTTAAGATTCAGTGTGAGATGAAGCACTGTTAATTTACATGTAAGCCATCCTCCTAAATGCTAAGCCAGACTAAGCAACAAGCAGCATTTTTAAAATTAACCACTGGATTCCCCACTTCACAGCTAGTTGCTTACTAGTCCTCAGCGATCCCGTAAGCCTAGCAGTCAAAATATTTTAAAATAAAACCATTAGTCCCTCCAAAAGGAATGCCTTGCAGCATTGCTGCAGACAAGGATTGCATGACTACCAAACCACATTGTTTCAACAAAGCACTCTCATCAGCAACTCCTCGAGCCATTTTTTCCCAGAAGGCTGTACCTGATAATTCTGTAGGTTTGTCTTAAACTCAGCTGTCCCTTCCTCACTTAAATCCTGCTGCACCCAGACTATCAGTGGATACCAATTAGATGGGTTTGTCACCTAATTCTGTAACCCCTGTTTTTCACTTGGGGAAAAAAAACAGGAATAGCCTTTTCAAAAATTTCAGGCACCAACATCAAGCTGGAATGAGCCAGAGACCTTGTGAATGTGTGTGACAGGTATCTGGCTCAGGTGTGTTTTAAAATACACTTTCAAGTTCAGGAGCAGGTTGAATTGTCCATACAGATACCACCCAGAATCCCTGCCACCAGGAACTCTGGGCCAAAACCAAGATTTCCAATATCTCAGCTTTGAAAGCTGTGATCCAAGTGGCTCCCAACTGCGTGGAGAGGCCAAGAACAACGTCCTTTGACTATCAAAACCACAACACAAAACACAAGGGAGGGCAGACAGAACTTGTTAATTCAATTTCAGCTTGGATACAGTGGATCTGCCTCAAAAGTCATGCATGGATACAGGCTTCCCATTACCTAACCCCTGGGAAACAGCTGTGGTCTTCAGAGAAAGAAGTGATTTTAGACATTCCCATAGAAAATCACACCCAGAAGGACGGGTGGTAACTCCTAAACAACCCAACAGATCAGTAGCTGGTTAACACCATCCACGCAGCAGGGAGAGAGACTGGTGCTGTTTCACTGCTAACAGGTCTTATTGACACATCACAGCACAAGAAAGAACAAAACCAGAGATCAGACACTGCCAGAACGACTGCTCACATCAGAGTAACATCTCACATCACAGCAGCACCCCAAACCTGAGTGTGTGAGACCACCCAAGTACAGGTTGGAAGCTCAGGAGAGCTCCTGGGGTATTCAGTTTCCACATAAGACACACAGATTTTAATTTTGGACACTCTCCAGCTGCAGAACAACCTAAAGCAACAAGCCCAGTTTTGAACTCCACGGGGCAGTACTGCAGGTCACTGGTTACAAATATTACAAAGCTGCTCTTTTTGCTCAGAAAAATTCCATCTTTAACACTCGAAATTCTAAACATTTCAAAAAACGGGGGAATGTTTAGATCTTTCCACTGTCACAAGATACTGCCTGGCTAAGAGACTATGGCACCTGTGATTTTGGAAAAAAATTCAAGTGAAGGCTTCATCCACCGTGCAGAACTTGTATTTGGGGAGAATTACTTCTGGTCACTGCCTGGTACTTTTTACAAATGCACACAAGACACAGGAATGGATTTCAGGGACTTTCTTCCTTTCCCAAAATCCCAGGCTACTGTAACAGTTTTTAGCTCTCACATAAGTTCTAAACTCACTGACAGAAGGGAAACACTTTTAACAAAATTACCTGGTCAGTTTTGGCTGCCTCAGACCCACAGATGCTGCTCAGCTGACAGCAGTGCACTTCTTCTCCACTTTTATACTTCCAGAGCCTCAGAGTCGAGTCCTGGACAGATGGAAGTGGACACAAGTCTATTACTAACAGCACCTCAGGCAAAGAGAAGCCACTCATGGCCTTCAGCTAAACCCAATTTCCCTGAAGAGCTCCCCACAGAAGCTGCTAAACAGTCACTTAGTTAAGACCTCAAATTGCAGATAAAGCATTTTAATTAACATAATTTTCCCCTCCATTCTAAATTATTCAATCATGCTAATTTTAATTCCCCTTTTGAAGTGGAAATTGGGTAGCTGGAGGAGTGCATTTCAAGTCTGCCTCCAACTGCACAGTAACACATGTGCTCAGCATTTTAATGGCAATTCTTTCAGGCTGCCCTTCTCTGCCCCCTGCTCTTGTTATCACCCAAATTCTCATTTGATTCAGTAACCTCCTGGAGAGAAGCTAAACACCTCTCTGGAAAAACAGAGTCATCAAAGGGCATTTGCTAACAATGAAATACAGCCGTGCACAGCACTAACACCAGAGCTGCTTAAATAATTAGAGGGACAAGAGCCTTAGGGAAGCAAATGCTAAGAATTATTATGATCTTCACATCTTCAGAGAAAAAAAAATGGGGTTTTTTCCTATGCTGTTTTGGTAGTCTGGGAAACACAGAACATTGTTTATTTTAGATCAACACCATCTACTTGCTCTGTACGAGTCTGGCACGGCAGCAGGATGCCATCAATCTAGGAAAAGGGCTGGGGAGGGAAAGGAGGGAATATTCCCTTCCTCAGTCCTCACCCAAGCACTGTGCAGGACTGCACTCCAACCTCTACACAACGAGCTCTGGATGGGGACATACTGACAAGAACATAATTCACAGGGAGTCACATGTGGGAAAGCACTGGGAGGGTGCAGAGAGGACAATTTCCTCATCTTAAAACCTCTAAAAAATAATAATCTGTGATTTTAAGTTGTTCATTCTCAATCATCATCATGGCAGGCTGGCACAAGACCCATTTGATTCAAAGCTCTTCAATGGCCCAATGATTGAAGTCTGTCTGTGCTCCAAATCAAGCATTCATGTTGCAGAAATACTCAGGACTTGGATTTTGCTACCCCAGAGACCGTTTTTACTATAAGCAAAGTAAAAGGCTTGATGATCTATCAACAGAGTGGCTGAACTCTGAACAGAAAGCTAAGAAAAGGAGAGAACAAGAGAAGAAGGCTGTGCTGTAAAGTAGGAGAAAGATTAGTCCCAATATCCCAAGGAACTTGGCCAAACCACTAGTCTGAAGTCAAAAAAAAAAACCCAAACAAACAAAACACTTTTTCTGAAGAAATTGCAATACATACCCCAGAGGCTGACAACAGCAGATCAGGACAGTTGGGTATTACAAGTATTTTGCTTACAAACCTAAAGGGAAAGCAAAAGTTGAACTCTCTTGCATGACACTCTGGTCTTTAAACACACACAGTAAGAAAAAGAAACACCAATTTTGAAGAGAATCTTAAAATAAACAAACAGACTTTCCACATCAAGATAATGAGGAAGAAGAAAAAAATAGGTCTAAGGTACTTACTATGCACTACACAAACTACTGACTTTTTATTTAATAAAGAAATATATTTCCTCTGCACTCAGGGAGTTCTACTGACTTCCTCCCAGCTGAGAACATTGTCATTTTGATCAAAAAATGCCAGTGGAGACAGATGTACCCAGGTAGCATTGTTGCCCTTTCTCAGTTCATGATACACATTAAAAACATTAACCAATAGATTCTTTCAAAACACACCAGTGATGTTTTTTAATACTGCTGTGTCTACCATGACTTGTCTTCGGTGAGTACTGAGGACCTGAACTTGTGGAGATCATTATTATCTTAGAGCTGAGCAACCTAAAGCACAGAGACCTGAGCAATGGAACGGCCTTGCTTTCGAAAACAGGCACAATTTTGAGGCCATGGAGTAAAGAAATAGAAGAGATTTGGTCCACGTCATACCTACCCTACTCAAGAACCCTAACAACAAAAAAAACTCCAAAACCCCACAAAACCATATAGAGCTGGAAGGCAAAGTTAAAAGAGTTTGAAAATACCTCAACTGATAAGAGGTTTTAAGCAGCAAAATGTAAAAGAGAGAAGAATTAAAAGCTTATTTGCCATTTGAATCACGGGCAGGGACCCCTTCCTTTAGACCAGGTTGCTCAGAGCCCCATCCAACCTATCTTTGAACACTTCCAGGGATGGGACATCTATAACCTCCTTAAGCAACCTGTGCCAGGGTCTCACCACCCTCACAGTGAAGAGCTTTTCCCTAATATCTAAACTTACTCTTTGATTTTGAAGCCATTTCCCCTTGTTATGTCACTCCAGGCTCATAAATAGTCTCTCTCCATCTTTCTTGTAGGCTCCCTTCCTTGAATATATTTAATGGGATCATATTTCCATCTCCAGCACAACCAGAGTATACTGTCCAGGCACAACCTCCAAGTCTGAGCTCTGCACTGAGATGTCATTAAATTAATTGTCATATTCTCAGACCACAAAGACTTCCTAAGACTTTTGTTTCTATGACCAAGGCAGGCTCCATCCTGAACTAACAATCTCCAGGCTCTGCAGCCTCTTGTGGCCAGCAGGATTCTGCTCCTCTGCTCTGCTCTGGTGAGATCCCAAAGGAGTGCTGTGTCCAGCTCTGGAGCCCCCTGGTCCAAGAAGGACATGGACCTGTGAGATAAGGTCCAGAGGAGGCCACCAAAATGACCAAGGGGCTGGAGCACCTCTGCTATGAAGACAGGCTGAGGGAACTGAGGGTTGTTCAGCCTGGAGAAGAGAAGGCTCTGGGGACATCTCAATCCAGCCTTCTGGCACCTAAACAGGGATTATAAAAAAGATGGGGACAGAGTTTTTTAGAAGGGTTTGCTGACAAAGGATATTGGCTTTAAACTAAGAGCCTACATTCAGACTAGACACGAGAAATAATTTTTTTTTACAATGAGGGTGGTGAAACACTGGAACAGGCTTCCCAGAGAGGTGGTGGATGCCCCATTGCCCCATCCCTGGAAACATTCCAGGCCAGATTGGTCAGGGCTCTGATCTAGTTGAAGATATCCCTGCTTATTGGAGGTGGATTGGATTAGATCACTTTTAAAGGTCTCTTCCAACCCAGACCATTCTATGAGTCTATCACAGACCAGGGTGTTGTTTTATTTGACTTGAGGAGACAATTTCATCCACTGAGGGTGGCTGAAGGTGGATGTGCAGGGAAGGGCTGCACACAATGAGTTTTGCCCACAGTGAACTCACTCTCTGTGTCCCATACAGTAGGATACAATACTGTAAGGAGCCTTTGTCAAGCTGACTCTGATCTTCTCGTCTCTGTCTGCAGAGAGGATGTACTGGTCATCAGGACTCAGGGTCTGTTGGTAAAGGGAGAGTTTTAGTGCCCAGTAGTTCAATGCTTGTAATTCTCCTTAACTAGGAAAATAAAAAAGCAGTAAACTATCTGTATCTCCTCACTCCAAAAGGCAGGTGCAAACACTAGAGCCACTCTTCTCCCTTGACAATTTAAACATAAATCTTTGTGACAGTAATTTTCTCCCTCACTAAGACAAGTGATGTTGACTTCCAAGTCCAGTGAAAGCCACTGTACAGGCGGAAATCCCACTGATACTAAAAAGAAACTTAGCACATTGAAAGAGCTCAGCTGATATGATAGACTGGGTGAATTCCCATATATATTCCGTCACCAAGTCTTTTTCAACATTCCCAGAACAGATAACCCTTTTTATAAGCTTCTTTCCTTACCAAACTTTGATGACACAAGTCAGACGTACACCAGTCCACATACATTATATTAAAAAAAAATCCCTCATAAATCTGGGACAAACACAAGCAGGAATGCAGGTTCGTACAGTAGATACACAATGCACACACTTACCACATCCAACAGCAGAGACACATGAGCCAGCTCAAGCTTTCCATCTGCCTGAGGTTCTGTTATTGAGTAAGAATAGACATCACCAGACTTGTCTGCAACGAAAATCTTATCCTCTGCAGCTGTAATAACCAGGGCTGTGCATCTCCTGTTCACAAACCTGAAAGAAAAACGGCACAGCTTGAAGGGCTCTGCAGGACAGACTCAGCAAGTTTGAAAGCTAAGCACACCAAGAGACCAGACAAAAAAAAAAGCTCTCAACTGCAACATTCTCGCAACGGCAGCAATGAGAATAACATTACGGGGCTGAAATAGCACTTTTGAGAACTAGTAAATGTCTGAACTACGTAATAGCAAACACCTGGGGGGATTAAAAAAAAAGGAGGTCATTAAAAGCTGCATGACTGCATTCTGCTTTGGTACTTACTCAACTGAGCACTTGGCCCAGGCAGCATGCCAGGGCTCTAAAGAAGGCCAGGGATCTTTCTTGCACTCTCCATAATAAAAATACAAGTTCAACACGTAGAGAAGACAAGGTAGGATCTGTCCTTTGGAGCAACATATTTAAAAACTGCGCAGAAAACGCTTTTCCAGTTGCCACTTTGTGCCGTGAGAAGAAGCTCTTCCTCGCATCCTGAGTTAGAGTCACGGTCTCAGGGCACCTTGTCCAGACAAAGCCCTGCACTTGAACTCCGACTTTCCCTCATCATCTGCCAGCATCTTACAGTTCCAGTTGCCAGTGGAGCAGGTAACAGTTTCCTTACAACTGCTCAGATAAAGGACCACATATGCCACAAAACTTACGCCCTGTTTGCTAACACAGGACTGTGGACACCAAGGACCACGTGGAATGGACATTTATATTCACCCACTCTGAAACTCAGGGACCACCTGGAAGCAAAAAAACTCCAATATACTACACTTCAGGTAGGAAGACAGAAATTCTAATCATTTTTAGGGGTTGTTAAAAGGAGCAACACAACAGTGGGAATCGTATAAGACAAGACTGCCTACTACCACAATGCAGGCTCAGGCAACACAGTTCCAAAACAGGTTACCTTGCCAACAAGAATAAGCCTTGCTCCAAATTCACTGTTCTACCTGGGATCTTAAGCACAGAGATTCAAAAGTTCCCCCTTTGTCTGAAATGAGCTGACTACAAAAGGCAGCAACATGTGAAGCTTATACAGCTTGCCACAAAACACAGATGGAAGTTAGAGAGCTCAGTTTTGGCATTCCTTTAGCCATGCAGAGAGTCTTCAGCCTGTTTCCCAGTTTCCTAATAGGAGGTAATGACGTTCCCAAAAAAATCCAGCTGTGGTCCTAGTTGGCCTTTTAGCAGAAACTAAAACACCAAACAATTATCCAAGGGCACGTGACAGGCATGACACACAAGGCAGGGCAGCAGGGAAGGCAGAACACAGAATGAACAGAATTTGCCGTTTCTGGCTTTGTCACAGAATATCCTGAGGTGGATGGGACCCACAAGGATCATCGAAGTCCTGCTCCTGATCCTGCACCTTGAACTCTGCCAGGCTCGGTGCTGTGACCACTGCCCTGGGGATCCTGCTCCAGTGCCCAACCACCCTCCGGGGGAAGAACCTTTTCCTAATATCCAGACTGAACCTCCCTGACACAGCTTTGTGCTGTGATTACTTCCTCACTACAACACTGTTTAAGCCACCAAAAGTCCATCCTGTACCCTACACACACAGCCAAGCTACAGACATTCCATTCTGGTTTGCAACCAGGGCCTCACGTTTGTCAGAGACCACCAAAGGCAGAGTTGTCACACGCTCAGCTACTTTCTCAGAAAGCCCTTCGTGGTCCTTTTTTTCTTTTTTTTTTTTTTACAGACAATTGTCACAAGCAGCAGCAGAAAACTTGTAACTGGAGGACCTCTGGTGGACAGCTGCAGGCTGTTTCCTCCAGAGGAATGCACAGAAGGGAAACAGCTGCAGCACCTCTGAAGATGTGCTTTAAAAAAACAGCCACAAACTCCCCAAAACAGACAATGCACTCACTGAACTGCTCAGTATCACTATTACAGACCCCAATCTTAAGTGTTCACTAGGAGTGGGTAAAGTTTCAGTTCTTTAAGATGCAAATACTGTCTTTTGGAATAAGAAAAGATATTATCCTTCCTTGGCCAATGATACAAATATCTGCAATCCCACTCTTGGTGTGGGGCAGACCATGCATCACTTCTTGACAAATATCTCTGAAGTCCCAAAAACATTAAATTCTTTAGAGCAAAGGAATTTAAAAAAAGAAAAAAAAAAAGGCTGAGTGATAACATATATCAACATCCCAAGTACTCCTGTTTTAGAACCCTGAATCAACCAGCCATAACTCCATAACAAAGTGACATGCAACATCCTCCTGCCTTACCTGACGCTAACACATTCCCAGGAAGGCTTCGTCCGGAACAGGATCAGACGTTTGTTGTCATCTGTCAAGGCAAAATAATCCCCTGATGGGGAGAAGGCAAAAGCCAGGATGTCATCAGTTCCTTTATCTGTTGCTTTTCCATCCTGCCTAATAGAGAGAAGGGGAACAGTTCACAACAAAAGACAATGAAGTCCTTGAGAAGGTTGTTCCTACACCACCACAAAAGTTTGTGAAGCCTTCGAAGCAAAGCCCTAAGAAGTTTTATTTATGCTTAAAAGGTTCAGCCAATTTGAACATTAATACAAAGAAAAAAAAGCCAAGGAAAAGAAAACTGATACAAAGTCTAAGCCTTGCATGAATACCTGCTTAAACAAACCAACCATGCTAGGGTTTGTGCTATCAGAGCTTGATTCAAAGTTGGGTGAAATCAGTAAAACTGCTAAAACACGCAAACAGGTAAAGTGATGTTCAGTGGTTGAATCTAAACTAAGAAAAATACTTTTTCAGTTTTGAACTCTCATGACTTAGAGAATGGACCTGAAGGAGAAGTTAACTTCTGTTATCTGTAACTGGCTTGTGGGGGTTTTTTCTGCCTTAGATGGTATAATAAAGAACGCAGCATTTTTACGTAACTGTCCTGAATGAGAACAATCACTGAGATTCATTTACCACGGAATCACAGAATGGTTTGGGTTGGAAGGGACCTTAAAGATTATCTCATTCCAACTCCCCTGCCATTTGGGCAGGGAAACTTTCCATTAGACCAGGATGCTCAGAGACCCATCCAGCCTGGCCTTGAACACCTCCAGGGATGGGGCATCCAGAGCTTCCCTGTACTACTGGTGTTTCCCTAAAAAAGAAAAAGGAGTACAGTGACCCCTCTGGAATGAAACAAAGAAAAGCGTGCCTACAAATCCATCAGGGTTAGCAAAACCAACCCATCACCTGCTCAAGGAGTTGCCCCGTGACTCTTTGATTGCTTCCATTGCCACACCCCCTCAGGAGGAGATGGCCCCTCCAGGAACAGAGAGACTGTCAGAGCAGATTTCCTCACCCATTATCTCCCGAGGTCTTCTCCGCGCTGGCACAGTCGTACACGAAGAGATTCTCACCACTGCGAGGAGAAAACAAGAGTAAACCCACTGGGACTAGAACAGCCATGAGCTTAACTACGAAGGGTGGCAACTCTTTTGGAAGGTGCTCTTATTTCACGGTTACTTGCACAGCTGACCCCCATCTTGAGGGACAACCTCTGCCCAAGGGGGCTCCCACAGGGCTACAGATGGGGCCGAAGCTTAAAACCCTGTATTGCACAGATGCCAAAAAGGAAATCATCATCTGCTGGCAAAGTAACCCTGCATTTCAGATAGATTTCAAGTCTGACACATCTGTCAGCAGCATTCACCCAGTCACAGGACCACAGAGTTGTCAGGGTTGGAGGGGACCTTTGGAGATTATCCAGTCCAAGGCAGGTAACCTGGAGCAGGTAACACAGGAACTCGTCCAGGTGGGTTTAGGATGTCTCCAGAGAGGGAGACTACATGCCCTCCCTGGGCATCTGTCCCAGTGCTCTGCCACCCTCAATGTAAAGCAGCTTATCCTGATGCTGAAACAGAACTTCTTGTGTTTTATTTTATGGCCGTTGCTCCTTGTGCTGTCACTGGGCACCACTGAAAAGAGCCTGGCACCAAACTCTGGCACCCACCTTGGAGATACTGATGTGCATCTTACCCACAGACATGAAACAGACAGTTTATATTTTATATCTCTTTTATATACATATTTTGTATGTGACTCTTGGGGATGGTCCCGTGCAGGGACATGAGATGGACTGGATGTTCTTGTGGGTGCCTTCCGACTCAGCATATTCTGTGATATATATATATAAATATAGATATATACACACACATCGATATACTCTATATAATTTCATATTATATATTGCATACCTTTTTAGTTTTAAATAAAAGCAATATGTTATATACACGTGTATGATACATATATGTGTATATATGTATACACCTATATGTTATATATGTGTATATATGTACACATATATAAACGTGCATATTTATATCTGTGCATATATATATATGTATGTACGTAACACATACGTAATCAATATGTTACACAGAGCCGCTCACACAGCAGTGACCGGTACCTGGTGGAGGAAAACCGTGAGAGTATAAAAAGTTTAAAAGCCAGGTCCCCGCAGCAGAAAACGCCGACAAGGAGAGCGGGAAAGCCACAAAAAAAAAAGCAGAGCGGTCAGCGGCCCCGGGGCTCTCCCTTCCCCTCCCGGCGCAGGGCACACGCACGGCCGGACAGGCCCCGCCGCAAACCCGCCCCGCACTGACCCGGGCTGCCCACGCCGCGCCGCCAGCAGCCGCCCCCCGCCGCTGGCCACCATCGCGGCCCCGCGGAGCGCCAGGGCCGGGCGGGCCGCGGGGCTGCGGCCGCCGCCGGTGCCTCCATCGCGGGTGTTTCCATCGGTGCCTCCATGGCCGGCGGCTCCTTCGGCTCCTTCTCCTTCTCCTCCTCCTCCCTCAGCGCCCGCCATGCGCCCGCGCCGCCGCCGCGTGCGTCGTGACGTCACCGCTCCCCGGCTCCGCCCACCGGCCCGGGGAGGGCGGAGCCACCGCAAGGCCAGCCCGGGCAAGATGGCGGCGGCCGCGGCGCTGAGGGGCGGCGGGAGGGCGGCGACGCGCCAGGTATAGCGGGTTATCAGCTCCGGTTTTTTTTCCCCCCGGCCCTAAATCCGCTCAGTTCGGGGCATTCCCTCCCGCTTTCTTAACTCCTGTTGTGTGGCGGCCTGCAGGTGTTGCGGCTGGAGGCGCGCGGGCTCTGCACGAAGCCGAACAAACCAACCGGGACGGCGGCGCCGCCGAAGAGTAAGAGGGTTCCTTTTGGTTCCGAGTGTGGTGTCGGGGTGTCAGTAAAAGGGATGGGTGAGGAGAGGGTGAGGATGGTCGCGTCTAGGGAGAGGTGCTACGTGAGCTGGGAAATCCAGGTGGAAGGTCACCACCGTGTAAACAAGGGTTTCTGATAAAGCGTTCAATATAGTAAAAGTAAATGTAAAAGTACAGTGCAGTATAAAGTAAAAAGTGCAGTAAAAGTAAAGGTCTTGTAGGAACGTGGCTATGTGGGATATATTTATGTTTATAGGCTTTATATATATATATTTTTATAAATAATATAAATGCATATATACTTATATTTGTGACTTTGACCACTTCTTTCCTGTTTGCCTTCACCATAATACTCCAGGCCGGGCTGGATGGGGCAATGTCAAACTGTGCAACGTGTTCGGGGGGGAATGGCTTCAAACTGACAGAGAGGAGGTTTAGGTTAGATATTAGGGAGAAATTATTTACTGTGAGGGTGGGGAGGCCCTGGCACAGGTTGCCCAGAGAAGCTGTGGCTGCCCCTGGATCCCTGGAAGTGTCCAAGGCCAGGTTGGAGCAGCCTGGGATAGTGGAAAGTGTCCCTGCCCATGGCAGGGGGTTGGAACTGGATGACCTTTAAGGTCCCTTCCAACCCAAACCATTCTGTAGTTTTATGATACGTTAATTGCTGTGATGCCTGACTAGACTTAAGGAGAGATTTAATTACATTTGTCTTAATATATAAGAAGCTTTTGCAAGCTGCCTGAAATTTGATAGAAAAGAATGTTAACAAGTCACTCTTTTTAATGAGGTGCAGAACCTGGTTTTCGACTTCAGGTGTTCGCCCTTGTCCTTTGAAATGTTTGGATTATCAGGGTTAAAAGGCAGAAAGAATTAGAGAATGAGTTGGCCTATACAAATACCAACTCCAGGCAGCAGGTTGAGAAGCTGCCACAGCCCTGCTGTGTTAAATTTGGTTATAATGCTTCCTGCCCCACAGGTTTTCCAGGCAGGGCAGCGCCTGACCCTGGGTTTGGATGCTGCGCTGCATTCCACATTCAGGAGCATTTGAACCCCTTTTGTCCCTGACCAAAGTCAGAACAGGAATACAAATTTCAAACAAGGGTGTCTTGTACAAAATGCTGGTTTTAAGTAGAGGTGCACTGGTTCAGTGAGGATTCCTGTCCCAAATTGGAAATCCAGGGATTTAAAAAGGAAAGCTTCATTGGTTGGAGTGGCCAGGCTTGTTGGCTGCTGTTGAAAGGATCAGTGAAAGAGTTGAATGCAGACTTCTGGCATCCCCTTAAAAGCAAATAAAAGCTTGGCTGTTCCATTAAGAGAGCCTTCACTGCACAGATTCTTATAACCTTCATTGAACAGCAAATTGCTTTTTATTAGAATTTATTTTTTTGCATCTAAGTGTATTTGAGATGTACCTCAGTATCAGCTTCTGGGTTCACTGTCCTGCATCTCCAGTTTGCGTCAGGAGACTTTTTAGGCCTCCTCTTCCAGCTGCTTCCCCTGCAATCACTTCAGGTTAATTAAGATAGAAAGGATGCAGCTGCCTTTTCCAGATTCTGGCTGGGACAGGATGTGCAAATTGTCCTTGCTTTGATAAAGTGCTCAGGTTTACAGAGTCAGTGAAGGGAAATAGACCTATCCTTTCTGCCTGTCACCTCTCCCGAGTGAGAATGTGCTTTAGACTCGTTCTGGTGACGATGCTGATGTTATACGGGCATCAGGAAGAATGCATTTGGGTATGATCCTCCTGTTTCTGAGCTGGGTGTGTTGTTCTTGTGGCAAAGTGGTGCAAATACAGATCAGCTGGTGCAAAGTTTGGAGTGCCCTAATTAAAGTGTCTGTATCAGTTGTATTACGTGTTTCAGCTTTTAATCGTAAAGTCTGTCTTTTTCACATAACCAAGCTTAAGTGTTTTAAGTATTTGTACAGTAACACCTACTGTTAATAGGCAAGTTGAGTGTCACCTGCCTTCTTGGTTTCTTAGGATGTTTTAACGTTAATAATTCTGAAGCTTTTGTTCAGCTTTCCCTTGCCTGCCCTCCCTTTGGCCAGTCTTGTGTTAGTTTGGTTTCCCTGTTTGCTTCCTTGAAGAACTCTTCAATCCTGAGTGATGCTTTCTCACGTGTTAGTTCCTCCAGGCTGCTGTTTGGCTGGGTCAGGCTGTGCAGGGAGTCAGACCTCTTCCAGAGGTGGCTTCCCATCCTCCTGCTTCCCTCTGCTCTTCCTTCCTACCCTGCACCTTCCATCTGACAGAGAGAAGTACGTGCTTGGAATTATTCCAAATATTACCTGTAGAGTAAGCTTGGTGCTTTTCTTCATTTGTATTTCATTATGATAAAACTTATTTCTTTCTTGAATGCTTTGCTTTTAATTTCACGTGTCTGTCTTTTCTGTGGTGTTTTCATTTGGACATTGCTAAAGACTTGCTTCTGTTCAGAGCTTGAATCACACAAGGTATTACTGTAAAATACTAGTAAGGGGAAAACTGCATCTAGTTTATAGATCTGGGTTTCCAAACTGTGCAGGTAAATCTGCATAACAGGCTGGAAATCTGTTGGATTACGCTGCTGGTTGGAAGTGGTGCAGCTCATAACAGAGTTGGCCTCACTGTAGCCAATTTCAGCCATGGTGAATCTTCTCAGTGTGCTCCCAGTCCTCTTTGTGCTCCTGTTTTCTGTAACCACAACAGTATTTGCTGTTGCTCAGCCTCTTGAGGATGATACTGGCACAAGCATCCAAGGGGTCTGAAAGGGCCTGAAAATTGCTGCTTTCTCTTCACCTGTTGACTCCTTGTCTGGAGAATTTAGCTTATTGCAGGTATCCATGAGAGAGGAGAGAAAGGCAAACATCAAACATCAGGAGATCTTCTAAGCCTTGTTTTACAAAGAGGTATCAAACTGAAAATAGGAAGTAATAAAGTCTTGGAGAAATTAATGTTAAACACAATTCAGTTGGCAGGTCATGTGGGCAATGTAAAAACTGCCATGTATGGCCTCAGGTATGTCTTATTCCTCTGCTTTGCCTTTTGGGAGTCCTCCCTCCCTCCCTTCTGCTCCCAGGGTAACTGTTGCCAGCAGCTGCTGCTGTGTCTTTACTGTGTCTTTTGCTCGGCTGGCTTGTTCACACACAAGTTTTGTCTCTGCAGCAGCGTATTTGAAGAACCATCTTAACGCTCACCTGAGGTAGGGAGGGGTCTGCAAACCACTTCAGTGATGCAGAGTTGAAGCACAGGGAAAACCAGCTCTTGACAAAGGAAGGAGCACAAGGATTTATCCCACGAGTTTCAGCATTGCAGCAGCAAAAACTGTTAAGTGCTACTAGAACTCCAGCTTCTTTAACTTAGAATGTCTTAAACTTTCTGCTTCGCAGTGCCTGCATTTAGTGTAACAATCCCTTTCGGCTTATTTTTGTGCCAGATTGTCTTGGGAAGTTTGAACTGTGTGGCTGAGATCACTGAGTAACAGCAGTGTGGGATGTAATGATGATAATCCTCTTTATGCCGTTTCCCAGATGTAGTGGCACCACAGGGAAGCACCAAGCTGCTTGCCATCAAGGCACCAGGTGAATTTCCTAAAATGTTGTCTTCTAGCTCTCCCTTGCTCTCCACAGACAAAGGTGAGAGCGTATCTAGTACCAGCCTCGAGGAAGCTTCCAAACCTGCCGAAGACACGAGGAGGTTCATGTCAAGAAAAACTGTGGTTGCGTTTCCTCAGCGAGGAGTTGTCTCCTCCTCTGAGGAGGAAAACCTCACTGCACCTGCAACAGGAGGCTGGAGGAAAGGGTTGGTCGAGGAACAAACTTCGTCTTCATCCAGCTCAGAGTCAGATTCTAGCTCAGATTCTGAGGAAGAAAACGAGGATTCACGAGTGGCTGTTAAAACTAAAGTTGAGTTTCCTAAGCGAGAGCCCGTCTTTTCTGAGAACATAGCAGTAAAGGCATCAATGCTAGCAAAAGAGAATTTGTTCCAGAGATCCCACAAAGAGTATGGACTTAAGAAGCTGACACGCCAACCGGAAATAATTGTCTCTCCTGTAAAGCAGGTCAAATTTTCTAAAACATCAGTCAGACAGGAAGCATCAAAATCCAAAGCAAGAGACCCTGAAGTAAAATCCACTCCAAAAGCAGCGGATTGGCAGAAGTTGGTCTTAGAGCCAGGTGTGGTGAGAAGCCCAGACCAGACCGGTGTCACTCATAAACCTGATTGTTTGGAGGAAAAGTCCATCGGAACCCAAGTAGCAGCAATTCAGCTGAAAACTTCAGCAGCTACTCAGGAAGACAAAGAGCAAAAAGTGGCACCCAGGGGAGAGAAGAGCAAGGTGAAGGAGGCACAGGAGTCAGAAGCAAAAGAAGTAACTGGTCCTGAAGTGAAAGAGACTTCTGGAAGCACGGGGTTGGTGACGGGCACCACGGCAAAGGAGGAGACCGCTCAGGAAGCAGGAGCCCAGGCTGGAGAAAGCAGCACAACAGAGGGTACAACTTTAAATTGTTTGAACTGTATTGATTCATCTGGGCTAGGGTTTGACTTTTCTTAAAGGGTTTCCACATCTTCTCTGGTCTTTATGCTGAAGCTGGCAGTGTGGCAGTGACTTGCTGGAGGATAAATTGTTGTTTGTTGCTAATTGTTATGTGCTGTCAGTAATACTCAGTTTCCAGCTATGCTGTGAAAGGAAGCGGTTTCATTTCTCTGTATTTGTAGTTTCATAAACCAGTTACTTATAAAATGAAAACAAGATTGTTTCCACTGTGAGCAGAATCATGGGGTTTATATGACAAAACTTGTTTTCGCTCTTCTCTTTTCTCGGAAGTGTTCGGTAGCTGCCTTTCTCATGAGCTGAATTTGATGCCATCTGAGTGTTGCTTAAACCCTGCTGTCTTTCTGGTTTTGTTTTGGGTTTTTTTTGCATTAGGCTTTGGTATTTGTTTTTTTTTTTCATGTTTTCAGTGTTTCAGATTTCAGCAGACTTCAGGAAATCACAGTATAGTGCCAGAAACAGGTGTTGATTCTGAGACTGGAAGGTTGTAAGTAACTAGTGTGGAAGCAGTTACTCAGTTACTGTGTTAGCTTTTGTAGTGAGTTGGGAGGAGACAGTAGTATTTTAGAAACAGACCTTTTCTTTTAGGAGAGACCATCATGCATCATATAATCACCTCCTTAGCTTTGCTTCCCTACCTAATTTACCCTTCTTATTTACTACCATCCTGTTAACCTACCTACTGATCTCATTTTGTGTTTTTAAGTGGCAGATGTTCCTCCTTCCTGATCTGTCACAGTCACCATTCTTGCCCTTCAGCTCAGGCACCATATAAATGCCATTCTTTAAACCCTCCTTCTCGCTGCTACTTTGAAGAGTTTGCCTACTTGGAAGTAAAAGCAGCATAACTATAAAGCTGCTGGGATATCATCCTTCATGTGATATCCCTGAGGGAAAGGCCCTGGGGGTCCAGGGGAACAGCAAGTTGAAGGAGAGCCAGGAATGTGCCCTCTCAGCAAAGGGCTGAGGGAACTGTAGCTCCTTCTTGGTGAGGGGCATCTGGAGTGCCGTGTCCAGTCTGGGGCTCCCCAGCACGAGGGAAGATGTGGAGCTGCTGGATTGAGTCCAGCAAAGTGCCACAGAAATGGTGAAGGGACTGGAGTGTCTCTCCCGTGGGGAAAGGGGAGACCTGGGACTGTTCAGCTCAGAAAAGAGAAGGTTCAGACAGAATGTCATCAATGTGTAAATGCCTGAAGGGAGAGTGCAAGGAAGGCAGAGGTCAGACTGTTGAGTGCTGCACAGTGATGGGACAAGAGGCAGTGGGTACAAACTGAAACAGTGTTTTGCCTGAATATCAGTAAACATTTTGTTTTTACTGTGAGAGTGGTACAACTCTGGGCACAGGATGCCCAGAGAGGTGAGGGACTCTCCATCCTTGGAGATGCTCAGAAGCTGTCTGGATGTGGTCCTGGGCATCCTGCTCTAGCTGAGCCTGCCTGAGAATTCGGGTTTGGACCAGATGACCTCCAGAGGTGTCTTCCAGTTTCAACCATTCTGTGACTCTGAAGTGTCTAACCAGGTGAAGTGACAAATAATTGCTTTTGTACATCAGTTTCCAGAGATAGTGCTGAGTAAAAGACCTGCCTTCTGTTTTAAGAGGTTAATTGGCTCTTAATTTGATCTCTTTGCTTACCTTCTTCCCTGATGGCAACTGAAACAACTGGATGTGGCGCTCAGTGCTCCAGTCCAGTTGACAAGGTGATGATCAGTTTAAGGTTGGACTCAGAGGTCTTTTCCAACCTAAATGATTCTGTGATTCAAATAATAAAATGCAGCGCTGTTTGCAAGTGATATTTTAATTTGCTTGTTCCTCCTTGCAGTCAGCAGCAGAAGCTTTCTCTAAAAAAAAATAAAAAAAATAATTGGGAAGGGCTATTTGGTTTTACCTACAGATGATGCTTTTCTCCCTTTTCATCCACAGTGGAATTCTAGATTCTCAAGCGTCTTTTTTTTTTTATTCCACATTGAAAGAAATACAAAGATACAAAAAATTAGTTCAGTTAACTTGGTCTTAAAATGTGCTAATGATTAAAAATGCAGATTATGACACATTGCAGATCTATGAAACAGCCTCCTCTACTTTGATGCTGCAAATCCAGAATAAGGTTAGGCCCGTGTGACAAACTTTCCCTGCAGATCTGTGTCAGTGGGGCAGTGATCCCACTGTGCCTCAGACCCATCATCACCACTGCACTAGCAAAAGCCTTTTGGGTAGGGCTGGCTTTGCTGAAAAAGGCACTTTTGCTGTTGAGCTTCTCCTGCTTGGTGAAGGTGGTCAGGCTGTGGCAGCAGGGAAGTTTCTGCTGGGTGGTGCCAGAGGAGTGGCTATTTGAGAGCTGGGGGTTGGTACAGGCAAGGTCACCCCCCTTTACTGCTGGTGGCATGTCTGAGGGTGCCAGAGGGTCCCAGGTCAAATCCAGCTACACTCTGTTGAAAACCAGCGCTGTTGTCTCCAGATACATCCTGTTCTCTCTCCCTTCTTTGAGAACAGCCTCTGCTTTGCCATGTTTAATGTTCACAACTAACGATACCACCCATAATTCGTGCTTCTGTCCCGTCCATGTGTTCGTTTGCTCATCTCCAAACTCTGCAGCAGGCACAGGGAAGACATAAAAGGAATTTTTCTCCTTACAAACCTGGATGCTCAGGTGATGTCATCCCTTTGTAGAGCAGTCGGCAAAAGCTGCTAACTTGAGCTGCTGAGTAAGTAGCAAAGGAGTAGCGTGGTAACTCAGAAATGTGCCTGTGATTCATTTCGGAAGAACAGCCTGTGAAGTGCTTTGCTCCCTAAGAGACAAAGCAGAGATGAAGACTGAAGTATGGGGAGGATGAACTCAGGAATAAATTTTGCCTTTGAGGAGCCAAGCACAGTGTATTTGGGCAGGAAAAATGAGACTCCATCTGCTTTTCTTCCTGAGCATCTGCCTCTTGATTTGGAACAACTGTCTCTTGCAGGTTGAACGTACACTTGCCTACGCTTGCTTGTTCTTTGCTGCGATTTGCAGCAAAGACTTCATCTGGCTTTTATCTCTGCGGTGCTGTCTCCTACGAGCTGGCTCAGTAGGAGCTGAGCAGTAGGCACAGGGCTATTTCCTGTCACAGGCTTTGAAACCTTGGCTTACTACGTTGGGATTTTTGCTAAATGTTATGGATTCTGCTCTTAATCTGATTGCTTTACGCCGCAATAATTGTGTCTTAAGCAAAGGGAAACCCTGGTGTTCGCTTGCTCGAGTTTTTTTTTTTATTGTAGATGGACACATTACAAAAAGAGCTTAATACAGTCTAACCTAAGCCACCACATACAAGTTTATGTGGTGAAGCTTTTCACTAGATTGTGTGTCTTTCCTACAGTTAAAGCTCTGGGTATACGAGAATAAATTATTATTGGGAAGTAAAGTTTTATTTCTTGCAATTTCCCTGGTTGTAAAATCAGCCCACACCGGGAACCTTTTATGTAAATGACTCTGCCTCCATTTGCATAATAGTCTAAAAGCATAAGAATTAATGTTGGCTTTAACGTGAAGTAAGGAGTTCTAAATAACTTTATTGGGTTATTCTTCTATGAAGAAGAGCTGACACAAAGTTTAGGAGAAAGGAAATTCACATCAAAGGCTCCTGATATATTACTGTTTGGTATAACCACATTTGAAATTAAACTGTGGAGATCTTTCTAATTCCCTCACTTCTCCCTGTGGAAAAAATTCAATCTGTGGTGTAGCACTAATGGCTTTATCTTGTGGTCTGGAGTGATGATAAATCATTTGTACTGCTCTTTGCCTCTCCTGGCTTGCTGAGAATGTCACCTACTGTTCTGGCTGGAGTGAAAACCAAGGCAACGATGGAAAAAGCCAGGAAATGCAGACATATGCCTTCAAAAGATAAATGAAATGTTCTGCCCTGTCCACCCCCAGCATTAGGTGGTAGTTTAGGTTGTAAGAACTTGCTGTATTAGATGCCTTGCACTGATTCCTGTTCCCCACTGCACATTAATGTGCTGCTTTAGGACCAGACAAGGTACCAGCAGAACTCAGTGAATTCTCCTTTTGTTGTAGTTGCTGACTCTTTTTTCTTTTAAATGTCGAGTGGCTGAGGGATCTGGCAGTGTAAGGAGGCTGATTGTCCTCTGGTGTGGCATCCTTATAGTCACCAGTTACTGTTTGTTTTCACAGAGACCAGAGCCCTTGGCGAGCCTGCTCCTGAGGAAATGGATAATTCCACCTACAAGAACCTTCAGCACCACGAGTACCACACTTACACATTTGCTGATTATATTACTGTTCTCTCAAAGTTCAGGCAGCCTCAGCCATCTTCTGGAAGACCATCACCAAGGCACTGAGAGAACCACATGTAAAGCAAATGCCCGGGCAGAATGATGAATTGTTCTATTTAGCACCATTGCTTCATCTCTATAATATAAATCAGATAATAAATAATAAATAAATGCATAATAACTTGGGCTTTTGAGCAGTTCTTCCTGGTTCTTAGTCCCTAACTTCCTGACATGCTCAAGGGAATGTGCCATGCTTTCCTTTGGTATTGTTGTTGAACAATTTGTTATTGCTGTTCTCCTTG